AAGCCAGATGTTGTTTTTACCGTAGAAACGTTTATTGATTTATTTGCGCAATAAACAATGGAATGCTGTCTTTTCTTGCTCTTGCTATCACAGAGAGTATCTTCTAACTGTGTTCAGCAGATGCGCAATCGAAAATAACCTACAAATATTTGAAATGAACAAAAATGAATGTAAACTAACAATGAAAATCGCTCAAAACCTCTTTTTTTCTAGAAAAGGGTTCCAAAAATCTGGTTTTTAAAACCCACCATATGTCTCTAACTAATTAATATAACAGAACATATATGTGTTTCTCATTAGCAACGGTCCCCAAGCTTATTGACCACTGTCACATCCCCGTAACTAAGGAAAATTTCTAAAACAACCATATATTTCTACTACCGCTTCCAGAAAACCGCTATTTTCACCGCCAAAAACCATTCAAAATGCGACAAATCGCACATAATCTGAAAGAGGACACTTTGGGCTCTCAGTATATGTGCTTATCTCAAAATCGATTTTTGTGAAAAAAAATCGATTTTCTGAGGGGGGGGAGCCCCTTAAGAATAGATTATTTAGATGCACTTCTATTTGTCTATTGATCATCGTTGCAGACATCATATTTTCATTGACAAAAGAATCTCAACATATTTCGCTTTTACCTCTCTCAATTGTGCATTCGAAACATTCATTCACGAAATACAGCCATGATAATCTTATGACCATTGTCATAGCCTATTTTCCTCTCAAAAAGTCAAAACATACTCAGGCTAAGTATCTATTGTGGTTTGAGAACCTACTCGAATATGGCCAGTCACTCATGATCATATTTACGTCTGTTGAGTATCAACCGATCCGCTATTTGCTTCGTTGAAACGGCTTGTTAGCATCATATTTTATTGTTGACTATTCAACACCTTTACAAATACCTCCCACTCGATCCCTTCTACCCACTTTCGAACTACAGCATAAAACCGATCCAGAGTGTGGATATCATCCGGTTGAGATCTATGCTACTTAGTATGCTAAAGCGTTCATGATAAGTCGAAGTGCTGAGTTGAATCTATATAACAGCAACTATTTTCTCTATGTTGACCGAGGAGCCTTTCGATCACCTAATTATCGGTTTTGATTGTGGCTGCATGATGAAATTATTAGAAAAATATTTTCCAATGATAGAATACTTCTCGGCATGGTTGTTCCACTTCCTCGACGCTTTTGCCCATTAAACCACACGATAGGTGAAGGGCAGATCAAAATGAATCTTGTTCAAGCTGGCGTTGTGAGTGACCCGGCACGCGCTATTCGCTAGTGGACATCAGTCTTTTATGAAACGATCGACAACTACGTTTCAAGAAACTTCTTAATCAGGAAAGAACAGAATCTGATGAATGTCATCGCCCTAACCCATGCCAATCGTATCAATATGATACACTCGCTTCGTGTCTCTTGTAGTAATACATGATTCGCTTTCGGGTCCCTACGTACAAACGATTACGAAAAAATTAAATTTGTCTTATTCATTGAGTTGCTGACAAGAAAGTTTGTCTATCTTCATTATTTATTTTGAGACTGTTTGCAATGATGTAACTAATCTTATATGAACTTAATTAACTATCAAAAAGAAAACGAACGGATAAGGTCATCTTTGGGCTTTCATCATGTTAAACATGGTTTCTTGTGTGTGTGTGTGTAGTGTTTATTCACAAACTGGAGAGCGATAGAGATGGAAGCATACGACAGCTAAGGGTGTGGGTGTGGGCGTGGGCGTGGCTATTCACTTAACCCTCTCACATCCACACCCACACTCTATCTTGCTAATAGAATTTCAAAATCAGCAACGGTTGTACGCTACCTATGCAAGTCAAAGCAATGTTATTTGGAAATTCATCCAAACTTCATTACCAATTTATCTAATGATCATTTATATTCGTTTATAACAAATGATTATTTTAGTTATGGAACATATGTGTACCTGGGTGAAAAAACAGCATTTGAAAGAATAATTTTAAAGCAATATTCATGTTTGTTAGCGTAAGTAATTTAACGATTAGTATTATTTATTTAAATAGATAAGAGTTGTTAAACAGTGAATGTGAAATAATTGCGAAGTAGTTTTGCTAAGCAAGTATAGTTAATGTTTTAGTCCAGCTCAGTTTAGCCAGAAATTTAGTGCTCAGCACTCAAATTTGATAAAACAGATTGATAATGTACTGATAATTGAGATTTTGTGAGTTTTCGAACAACTCTTGTAAGAAAGACAGTTGATAAAAACTTAATAGAGATTAAAAAATTTCACCGTGCTTAACAAATAAAATTTTTTTTGTCGACAGAAAAATTAAAAACTTGCTTGATTCTTGTTATACCTTAAGTAAATAGACGACTGTTCGTGATCTATAAATCTTTTTTCTTTTACGTGAGATCAAGTCGAAATATCGGCTAAGATGCTCTAAGCTAAGCAAAAAATTTATGATAATAATTGCATAATAATTAACATGAGCAAATAATACGCATTTAGGAGCATGAGAAATTCATTATATATGAAACTAGTTTGCCAGTGTGAGATGATCGCTGCATCTCAAATGGCAATAGGTTCCAATAAAATTTAATCATGGTCGGTACTTGTGGATCGCTTTTGTCTCAGACAAATAGTAGTATATACAGGAAGTAAACACACGCTTGATCGTTCTGTGGAAATAGATTGAGTCACTAGTTTTTGCATGTATCATGGAAACAGTAAGTTGGATTGCTTATGAAATAAAGTAAGCAACTGATTAAGTACTTTAATGGAAGGTTATAGTTTTATGCCAGGCAATGAATAACGTTCATGAGTTTAGGTCATAGAAAAACATTTTAGCCACTGATATTTAGTAATATCTTTTGGAAGATTAACTTAAAACTTGAAAATAGTCACCGAAGAAAGTATAGTGTCGATCTTTGTTGGAAAAATAGGGCCTTAAAACAAAAATGATTTTCCATAAATCAATGTTATAAAATAATTAGGCACCTTTTTTAGAGCTGGTTATGTAGCATTTGATACATTCACTTGTGCTTTCAATCAATTAAATGATGACTTGCGTGATCATATGGATCGAAGATTATTTGAACGAATATTTATTATCTATGCACTGATTGAATACCAGCTGTTTATGGAAACTGAAGCACCATTTAAAAATCAATGTAGTGCATTCTTACCACGAAATATAAGCACTGAATTGGATAAATTTATCATGCTGAATTATGATCATTTTTATAAAATGTTCGTCGAGTTGTGGTCTTCGTACAGTTCATTTTATCCTTGCAAAGGTGGTGATGATAGAGGTGAATGTTGTGCAGCAATTATTTGCGACGGTCACATAATAATAAGAAGACGTTTATGTTCTAATGCGAATATTCCATTAAAATTACCAGTACATTTTAAGCCGTTATTTAGGGTGTGGGTCCACACCCACACCCATATATTCTCTCTTTTGCTTGTTTCTATCTTATTCTGTTTTACAAGTTCTCTAGATAATGACGACTAAAATCGTCGAAAGCTCGAGTGATTACTAATCTAATGTATTTTTTTGGTTTATTATAATTACCTTTTTTTCTGATTAGTTACATATAATAAAAAAAAAGATGATTCTAGCTGCTGTGAAATCTATTATTTATATTTTTGAAATGTTTGCCCATCAAGTCAAACAACTAAGAGAACAGGTTATTGTCACAATTCCACAAAGACATGTGTTATTTTCTTCTTTCCTATCGTTTAAGAGTAAATGCATTTTGAGTTCGATTTTAAAACGAACATAATCTTTGTATTTGAAAAAATCAATTGCCTGTAACATCACAAATGCATATATATCAAAGAAGAACAATGGTGAGAAGAAAAAAAGAATAAACTAAATAGATAAATAAAGATGTGATACGATAACAAATATCATTTTGATAGCGTCTGGACAAATGAACAAAAAGAAAAAGCAAAGTATAATACAATGAGGATAATCGAGTGGGTGTCTTAACACGATAAAAATGAATTTTCAATTTTTTTTATCATTTCACACAAAAACATTCTGATGTTTTCCCGATTTTGAGAGATAAATTTTTCTTTTTTAATTTTTTGATTTTGCCACTCTATATTAAAAGTAGTTTGAAGTTTAATATCATCATTATTAGCAGATGTTGAAATCGAAACTGTATAAGTACCAGGAGCAACAGTCCATTTTTGATTAATAACATTCCAGTATGAAATATCCTTTTTTGTTAATATCAATGAAACTTGTTTCGATTGACCTGCTGCTAAATACACTCGTTCGAAACCTCGTAATACTTTTGCTGGTTCTTCTGCTTCATCCGGAAATCCAAGATAGAGTTGAGGTACTTCTGAACCATAAACTTCACCACTATTAGTGACAGTAAATGTTATTTCGTAGACAGGTTCATAAAGTTTCGAAGTAGCAATATTAGTATAAGGTCTTATTCGATGTTGTCGATAATGTAATGAAGCCTTATGTTTACCTTTTACAGTTTTAACAATATGAAGTTTAGAGAAGGAGAATGTTGTATATGACAGACCATATCCAAAATAATATCGTGGTAGAATATTATATTTATCAAAATGACGATAATCTAAGAAAACACCTTCACTATAATTGGAATGGTATGTTGGACTAATATCAGTACCATAATCAAAATCATTTTTAGCAAGTGTAAAAACAAGTTTGCCTCCTGGATTATAATTTCCAAAAAGAACGTCAACAATAGCTGGTCCATATTCTGATCCAGGCATACCTGACCAGATAACACCGACCACATTGGGAAGATCAATCCAACTTTCAAGATTAAGTTGTGAAACACTGTTGACGATGACAATAGTATTAGCACAACGAGAAGCAACAGTTTGAACAAGTTTATCCCCATTATTTAAAGCATGAAGATCATTTCTATCCAATTCTTCTGAAGACCAAGCACTAATAAAAACAAGACATTTACCAGTAGCAAAATCACGATGATTGAATGATTTATTAATAGCAACATAATCATTTTGGTTAGTAATATATCGAATTTGAAAATGAAAATCTCGACCTTTAATTAAAAGTGAAGTAAGAGGATCAATAGCATATGTTGGTTGAACAAAGCCTGAACCTCCACCTTGATATAAAGCACCTGAATGTTTTGACGAATGTCCTGAATCGAAATCTTTATCAGGTTGACCTGCTGCTGATCCATAAATAAAATAATATTTATCTTTTGTAACATCGAATGGTAAAATATTGTTTGTATTCTTAAGTAAAATAATGCCTGCAGTAGCAATTTCTCGATTAATCTTGTAATGATCTTCAACAACATTCCGATCTAAGTTAAGTGATGGATATTCTTGATCTTGTCCGAGAAGATAATAAGGTGTTAAAACTCGAATAATCATATCATCAATTCTCTCTTCTGTAATCATTCGATTTTTAACAGATTGTACAAGGTTAAACCCCATTAGACCATCATCTCCTGGCATATCTACATCTAAACCTGCTAAAGCTGATTGAACACCAGTTTTTGTCGCACCCCAATCAGACATAACATTACCAAGAAATTGAAGTTCTTCTTTCAGAAGTCTCTTTAATATTTTATCATTTTGACAAGCTGGTGTACCATTCAGCTGATTATATGAACACATAACCGAACCTACGCCAGCAGCAACACTAGAGGCAAATGGCCAAAGATATATTTCATGCATTGTTTTATCATCAACATTGGCTGAATAAGCTCTGCAATTACAAAATTCTGATTGAGTTAGAATATCTGATGGACAAATAAGACGATTGGTTTCTTGTTCGTTACAAATATAATGTTTAGCAGTTGCAACAACACCTTGATCTTGAATACCTTGAACATAATAAAATGAATTTTCACCAGCAAGATATGGATCGGAACCAAATCCCTCCCAATTACGACCATGTCGAGCATTTCGATCGATATTCATCATCGGACCCAAAGCGAAATGGACTCCTTTACCTCGGAATTCTTTGCCTATTGCCGCACCACGTCTATAAAATAGGTCTGGATCCCACGTAGCTGCAATATGTATACCAGCAGGAAAAACAGTGGAATGTAGAGCTCTATTACCGACACCTGATGGTGAGTCTTGGAAACAGAGACCCTTGAAATTCAGACGGGATACAGGTAGAACGTTACCAATACATGGACCATGAATACCAGACGTCATGTTACATTTTTCTTCTAACGTTAATTGTGCGACAAAAATCTCAGCGATACTAATGGCTTCCTTCCATGTTCTACTTACGATTTTCAGGTCTTCATTCCAATTGAGACCAACAACGACCGAAAAACTCAACAAAAAAAAAGCGACCATCATAATCACGAAGAGACGATTAACAAACATTTTGATGATAATGTTTGGTTTTTTTTGTCTTATAAAGTATATTTATACACAAGGAGTGATACGAATGCAAAAAAAAAAGGTATGATTTTTCTTACTACTATCACTTCAGTATCGAGCTGCGTTTATTTACTGATTGCCTTGGTGTATTGTTAAGGTAATATACGGTATATTCTTCACGATAAAAATAAAACATACGAAATATTTCACGTGTTTCTTGCATAACTCACATAGAACAAAGACACCACTGACACTAGAAAAAATAAAACTGAATTAAGCAACGCTATTACTTAATTCAGAATTAACTCATCTTTTTGAGATGAATTAGTAGTTAATTCAGTTTTATTTTTTCTAGTGTCAATGGGCTCTAAGAATATCCAACTTTTCGAGTTGATAATTATCTATAGAAAATATGATATACGAAAAAAACTAGTCAAAGAGAAATTGATGCATTACAATCAATTCATTTCATTACAATCTTTCTTTTTTCTTTGTTTTATCTGAAAGAAAACTAACGATTATATATAGATTTCTTTTTTTTTCATTTAATTTATTGTGCCATTTTATTTAGGTTCATAATTTTTACGCGAAAGAAGAGAAACAAAAAAAAGAAGAAGGAAAAAAGGAAAAAAAAATCAGCACATCGATTAGGAATACATAGAGCGAAAAAGAATATATCGAGAACAGAAAAGAAGAAAAAAAAGAAGATTCACGTATCTAGTGATATCTCTTATATATTTATCACAGACTAGATCAAGTGAATAGAGAGTAGAGAAAAGTAGATTTGAAAATGGGGGAATACATTTGCATATTTGTATGTCATTTCATTTAGGTTCCCCTCCTTTTAGTCATCAATTTTGTTCAATATAGAATGATTAATTATTCGATTTATTTATTTAATTCAATTTATTAATTTATTGATATAAGAAGAGTGTTTATTTTTCATCTTGTATTAGTATGCTATATTGATGGGTTATTTCATGTTACAATTAGATTGTATACTATTATTATTATTATTAAGGTGGTTCAAGAAAGTATATATACACCAACAAATTCAAGTAATGCCAGTCTTTCTTATAATGTTCGAAATTTTGCTTCTGTACTAGTGCAAAGATCCTCCAATCTTCTAAAGTGTGTCGACCACGTTCTATTAACCTTTTAGGAAAAACGCTATTTTTCCTAAAGTCCATAGATTTGTACCATGATTTATCAGATGATTTTATTATTTCATATGCTCAGCACGATTGTTGAAATGATAATGCATCAGGTGCTTTCTCAATATGATAGTTTCGATGGTACCAATATGAATATAAATAATCTAGTAAACATTTTTCTCTTGTTACAATTAGTATTGTAATATCGTTCCACTCTTTTAAAGAGTAAACTATTCTTAAACCAGAGCAATAAACGTGCTCAATCAATTTCTTTTGATTATCTCTATAATAGAATCAAGAGCAAAAAAGCCAGCAGAAATGTGGCAATGCGTATGCTAAGAAGATCTTTCTTCCTAATGAAATCAATGATGAAGGAATTGTGCAAAAAATTATATTAAGTGCTTTAGAGATTTTTCGAATATTTTTAGACATTCACTTATGAATAGCATCCATCCAAGTTTAGTCGAGATATAGACACCTAAGTATTTAAATATTTTAACATATTCAATGTCTTGATTTTCGTATATTATAGTGGGATAGAGGGCTGATATGATACTATGAACGAGCAATGCCTTTGTTTTACTGACGTTTACTGGAAGTATTAAATTTTTTGAAAATTTTTCAAGCTGCTTCATGACAATTTTTACTCGCTCTTGGATTTGACTGATATTTAGAGAAAATCTTTTTTCAAGAGAACCTGATATAACTATTGCTAAATCATCAGCGAACATATGAACAGCAAGATTAAAGAAATATGAGGGAAGAAAATGCACATGCAGTCGAAAGAGTGTTGTTGCAAGAATAGATCCCTGCGGAGCACCAACATCCATTGTTGATAGTTCTAGAATTTACATCTCCAAATGATATATACAGGTACCTGTTCTGCAGCCAGGAAAAGCTAACGATTATATTCGATGTCAGAAGATAAAACCACTAAGCTACACCGAATTTTTACGACGAGACAATATCTCTCTCACTTAGAAAACATCTTGCACTTAGCAAATTTCATCTAATTCTTTATAATAACTAGATACAAGACTTTTTTCGATAATCTAACAAGATTTTTGCCTTTTATTCTCATAATTAGTATGAATCTTTTATAGTTTCCTCTTCATTGTTAGTTTATTGTCGAAGTATTTATTAAGAATTGCACTGATTGAAATATTGCACAGAATAATAATATGAAAAAAAAAGAAAAAAAACAGAAGTGTATAGCAATGTGGATAAAATATTTGTCGAGTGGACTATCAAAAGTGGAAAAAAACAAAATCGTTTGTTTTTATGTTAAATTATGTTGATTGTATGGAATTTTAACGAGAGAACATTATTTGTAGAAATAAGCAAAGAAGCATCTATACATAATTTACAGAGAAAAATATAACATACAATGGATAACTGTCGCTTATTCAACTTTAACAAGAATCTTGTCATCGTTTCAACAATAGATCGAAAGACTGACTCTTCATTCACTTTCACCATGAAAAAGGATCATCATGACAGACTAAAAACAAAAAAAATCGAGAAAGAATAATCGCGATAATATTGACTAGTGTACATAGAATAAACCATGAAGAAAAAAAACGTTTCGTTCTGTTACTTTTCATCTTTCTCTTGATAATAAACAAAAGATTGTCTTCCCTATAGAATATAAAGAAAAAAAAATCCTCGTTTGACGATAATCATTATTCGATCAGTATGAGTGGAAGTGTCACTCGTATTGGTTTAGTTATCTATTTCAAAATTTTTCACTCTTAGATATTACTCTTTCAATGCACTTTTTTCAATCAGCTTAGTTCCATAAAACTATTCTAATTGAGTATTATTCCTAAGACCATGAATTCACTCAGTAAAATACCAGCCAAAAACCCACAAGCAGAAAACAAATTTTATCAAATCGATGAACAATGTTTAAACTACACATGGATTTGATAATATTCTGGAATTAGATATACTCTTAGTTCAATATCATTTAGATATGTCTGATCAGACAATTTTAAATGATATTACTTCATTCATTAATAAACAATATCCAACATTGAAATACATCCATTTACTTTTTCTATCTATAGAATCAATGATGGCCGCAGTTACTAGAGTTTCTTAATGGACGAAAACCAACATCAAACAAATATGTATGCCCATTTCCAACAAATTATAAGGCTGTGATTGGGTAGCAAAGATATGTTGCCTGCTTGATGGAAACATTTGGTCAAGTTGAGATGTAGTAGCTCGAATGGATATGAATTATTATATTCTCAGTTGATATTGCCGAGAAGATATCTAATGTGATAGAATATGAATCGTATAGAAATGCTGAATGGGATCCTTTTTCCTTAATATATCATAATAAACATATTTTCTTTTAACCATTAATACAAATTTATTTCTAATAAATTAGTATCACTTATGACATTAGAGATAATATCGAAACTAAAATAAATTATTCTAGTATGGAGAATGTTTATTTATCGTTAATTCAATGTACAAATCGAAATGTATATATACTTTTAGAATATAAAAAAAAAACATGCAGTCAGAATAAAATAAGCATAGATAAAATAAATAAATGCAAACAAATATAATAAGAATAAACAAAAATTTTTTATCGACTTATTTAACCTTGATCAACATCTTCGTCTGTTCTTTCCATCTGATTATTGTTGCTCATCTACATTTTATTGTTGTAGTCAGTTCATTATCTATCATATGAAGATAATATTCTCTATCG